CATTTATCATTTACTTTATTGTTTTAGATGCTTAAACATTTTTAATTGTAAAAATACCTTTTTATTTTTCCAGGCAATGTGAAGAAAAGTACTTCAATACTACAGAAGGCATTGGAATTAAACGCTAGACCTGCAGAACTTTTGGAGATGGCACTGCGGAATTTAAGATCTGGGAAACAGACATTGGTGTCCCCTGAAGACAAAGAGAACCTGATAGGTTGATCTATTAATGTCCTTCTGTTTGGAAAAATCACCACTACATGCATTTCTATTGCATGTATATAATCATGCAACTAATTTTCATCAGCGTTTACTTTTTTCCCTCTGCATTTGGTACAAGTTGCAATGGATTTGTTTTAGTTTTATTCCTCTAGAAAACATTTTATTGCTTGAGTGCTTTCATCTCATAACATTGTTTTCCCTTTGATATTGTGTCAAGGAATAGTATAATTAGTTGTGGATATGACTATGAAAGATGTTAAAGCCTTGACATTCTCTTTTGTACAAATACTGATTTTCCTTCGTACAGTGTCAACGTATGATGCACAAGATTCTGTAAAAAGAAGTCTGGAGTTCCCAAAAAGCAGCAGAAGCAGTGAAGGGACAGGAGATCTACAGCTGAGTGGTTCATTCTTTTCTCAAGGGTAGGTCATTATTAGCCTGAAAGACCTAATAAACAGACATTCTGATTGGAACGTAAGTGTTGTCTTTAAAAGAACCGGAGTATAATGTACCTTTTTTTTTTCCAGTATGGATCTGAAGCTTGGGTCCCAAGAAGAACAGGGCACTTGCGGATGGAAATCCAGTGCGCACTTGAAAAAGTCTGCGGTATGACACTTTTGTTTTTTATGAAATTTTCAAAGCTTCAGTGCTCATTTCCTGAAAATTATAAACATTTAAATGTATGAATTATGGTGTGAAAGATGTTCATATACAAAATGGGAGACACAGTGGAAATGTTTTGTTTAATGTCTTGTAATTCTTATGCCTTACAGGTAGGAAGAGTTCCCATGCAGCCACTAACAAATCCAGATTTTGATATTGCTGTCAAAAAGAGTGACCTTTCCTGCAGTCATCTGAAACGGTAGAGTAAAACATATATTTTATGTCCTGTATTGTTGGTTTGTAGTAAAAAGATTTTATAGGAAAAGGTGGTTGTTTTTAGGAAATGTTTTTCCTTCTTTGAAAAAACATTAGGAATGTTACCTTTAAGGGTTTATCACTGTTGTTTCTCAAAAGAATTTATCAGGAATCATTGAGATGCTACTTTATTGTGTTAAATTTCAGTTTTGCTTTTTAGGCAAACTTCAGGAACAAGAACAAATCAAATGTTTGTGCCCTCATTGTCCAAATCAAGTAAGAATGGTGGTGATGGAGACTCCTACAGTCTCTTAAACCTAAAGGTACATTGATTTTTTTTTATTAATATAAATTCTTACTTTGGTAAACATTGAAAGTGTCTCCATTTATAAGAGTCAGACGTCAAAATTATTTTAGATTAGTAACTAAAAATTGTTCCACATCTCTGCTGAACTGTGAAAAACGTCCATAAGAAGAATAATTCAATGAATTATTTTTTTGTAAAGTTTATGTCTTTGTAAAGTTCATAAGCTCATTAGTGAGCTTAGTTTTTTCCTAGAATTTGTGCACAAAATTCAATAGCTATATTTCCTTTAACTTATTTATAGTTTTTACTTTTCAAAATGTCTATGAATATTAATTGTTTTTTACATTTTGATTTAGGCGTTATAATACCAGGCCTCTCTGAAAAATCAGCTAGATAAGAGTTGGAATGTAAATTTGAAGACTGTCTAGACTGGACCTGTACATCATTGTTTCATAGGGGCAGTTAAGGGTCTATGCTATTCTTCTCAAGATTAAGAAATCAAGATTTTATCTCTACTTTTTCTTCAGTCATCAAACATCAGTCCTGAGAACAGCGGCGCTGAGCTGCCTATAGTTTCTGATTCAACAATGACGCTTTTGAACAAAGTAGACAGAAATGTTACTCCTGGAACAGAAGGTAGGTTATTAATCATTTCTAACAAACCTCTTTAGATTTTTTTCATATTTAACCAAAATACAATTCCTTGTAACAAAGACACAAAGAAACAGTTACTCATAAGGTGTGCTACATGTTTCGTACAGTTTCTGTCATCAGTGACAGTGCTGCTCTGGAGATGGGTTATGGTAGAGAGAGGATGGTGGTAATGTGGATGTGGTTGTTTGGGGGGAAACTGGTTTCTGTCTATGCTAATAATACAGATATTGTAGTTAATACCAAAGCATTGAAGTATTCTCTAGGATAGCCTGCATATCTTAGAACACAGGCAAATCAGTTCAAACCATAGGCAAAAAATGTCTTAAGATGGTTACTTTGATCAGAAGTAATTTGCATTTTTTTCCCCTCTTCTTAAAGGCACTCCATTGCAAGCACGGACTTCTGTATCACACAATAAAAAACAAAAAGATGCACCATCAAACCTAAAGATGTCTTCAAGTCTGGAGCAAAGCAAGCCTAGGCCTAAAGACCCTCCATCACATGCCTTCAAAATGCCAACACAAATAAATAGACAAGCCTTCCTTGAGGTCAGTGCGATGTTCTTCAGTGCCATGTTTTTTGGGGGGATTTGTTTATTCATCATGTTAGAGTTATAATGCTATTGTTATGAATCCCCTTAGGACAAGCGGTCACCTGCAGAACATGCTCAGCATCAAGTGCAAAACTCTATTCCAGCACCATCCAGACAGTCTTCAGAAATGGTCTTTGAGACTCCAAAATACAAAAAGTCTGGCTTGAATACAAACAGGTATGTTTGGAACATCAGATTATAAAAAGGTACATTTGTCTCATGTATATAGTGTAATTTGTGCTCAGACCTTTTAAGTCAGTTTGCATCTGATTTCATGTTCTTATGTTGGATTATATGCAATATCCTCCAAAGGTATTGGGACAGTGAACTCTTAACTATTGTTTGTATTAATTGTATTTTAATATTTACTTAAGCTCTACCCGTTTGGGTCCATTAAATTGATATTGTTGAATGTTTTTATTTTGAAGGTAGTTCCACTTGGGCAATGGGTTTACAGGTTACTCAGGTGGTTGGTCAGATGTTTACAGTTGGGTAGTTAGGAATTGCTTAAAGATTTGTGAACATCCTATCAACCAACCTCACTTTGACTGGTCTATAATTGAAAGTCAAAATGAAAACAAAAGAACGTTTTATTAAAGAGAATCATGTAGCTTTGAAGCTGAAAGAAAAACCCAATGAAGAACCATAGCACAGACATTGTGTACTAAAATGGACAATTTGGGTGCATAATAAAGAAAGAAACCAGAGGTATGATTACCAATCATTTTTTAGATTGAACTCCAATTGAGTAAGCATTATAGACATGCTGAAGAAAAAATGAAACCAGAACATCCAAAGAATATGCAAGAACTCACAATGGCTGCAGCAAAGGCTTGGAAAAATATAATGGATTATACCAAGAGTTTGATGAGTTTAGTGGAAAACAGATTACATGCAGAAAGTTTCTCAAAGGAACAAATACAATAAAAGTGTGGTATTTGTGGGTAAGGTACCTTAATTTGCAAATACAAAACTTGATACCATATGGAGAAAAATGTTCATGTCTATAGTTATGTTTGTTATAACTAAGCTATATCAGGATTAATTAAAGTCAGTAATTATTGGTAGTATTTTTAATTATAATTGCTGCAAACTTCAAAAAGCTATTTTTTTCCCTTTAAAAAGCAAGTTATTGCACATGCAGATTAGATGAGTGTTATATCTTACCCTGTATTAGATTACATTTTTTAATTTTCTTTGCTTTTTACATTATTATTACTTTTAGAAATGCAGCACAACTGTGCTATAATAAAGTTATAGTCACAGCATAGGAATAACAGCGAGGAACTTAAATTAAGTGTACTCACTCCTTGTCTTGCGATTTGTGTATTTCTCTTTATTTCTTTGCTATAATTTTCCACAAAATACGTGATAACTGAGACTGTGATAACTTAAGGGACAATGGAGTATATATTTAATCTTTTATTTCAACACTGAGTCACATACAGCATCACTTTAAGTCATAGTATCATAGTACGATAACTGGTCTACACACAACACACATCTAATGCTTTCCTGAAGGAAACTGAATGAAGCATTCCCCATGGTGCACTGCTACCCAAACTGTTTGTTAATCAAGCTGTGCCTTGGCCACAGAGACTGGTGTAGGTTGGGCGAAGTGTTTCGTATGATGAAAATGCTGTGGAAGTGGGTGCCCGAATTTTTCCCCTGCTGCACAGTCCACACATAGATTGAATTTGGTCCTTAAATGTGGAAAAAGTGGTCACTAATAATTTTGCGCGAATATTCATCTTGTGGATGTTGGGGTATTACTGTATGGGCTTTTGCTCTTTGATATTTACTGTGCCAATATTTATTTTATCTTGAAATTACTGGATTACACAGCATATTTGTTTTTTCATATGGTCAAATGTATACTTGGAGTTGCCCAAAAGGATAAGATATATTTTGCTTATTATTCCGATAATGACGAATACAAATGATATAAATTACAAATATCGACTTTATCCCAATACTTTAGGATGGCACTGTATGTTGAAATAGGGCATTGTAATTCTTTTAACCTGGAATTGCGTGACAAAACAAAATCAATCACCAAAACAAATTTTAGAATTCTATACAAGTCATAAAAATAAGATGTATTATGTTTGCAGTGATGCAGATTTATATCATTTTAATGGAATATTTGATGATTATGAAGATCTAAAAAAATCTTTTTTTGTGACAGCTGTGTTACTCCAGTTTTGAGGACAGACCATCCAGCAATGGGGCAAACGTTTACACCTTACAATTATGGGTCATGTCAGCATCCAGGCCAGCTGCAACAACCTTCCACTCCTTTCAGCCAAGTCAGCTATGCACAACAGCCTCCTCAGGTAAAGATTTGTGAACTTGCATGTCCATTATAGATATAATTATGTAAATGCTAATAGAGTTACGGATATGACCTTATCCGTGCATCCCTACTATTGTAATACTTTTTCCAATTGTAGGTTCCTGCGTTCTCCAATGAGTCAGTTACAATCAAAGGCAAAGCCTACTTCATTCTCAAGCAAATAGGAGTTGGTGGTTCCAGTAAGGTAACCCCCAGTTTACTTTTACTTTCTAATTTCTTCTAGGTCTGCTAAATGATAGGTGTTGTTTAAGTAGGTCTCGGTTGCTGGGGTTCAACATTTTATAATCATAATTTGTCACATTATAATTATTGCTCATGCTATTTGTAATGCTGTGCTTTTTTAATTTCTTAAAGCATTTTCAGTATGGGTGAAATAAAAGCCTATAGATATTTGGACAACCAGGACTAAGACTGTCCAAGAATAACTAACTATAACTACTTTGTTAAATGCATGTTTAATCAACTTTAACAAGCTATTGTAAAATAATATTTTGAAAAATATTGTGACTTATGGAACGAGTCTACATTGTTGTATTTCATATATCATTGGTATCACAAATCGTAATAATCTATGTGCATCTTTTATATATCTGAAAAAAGTAAAGCACTTAAGATTATTGGAGGCATATCTGGGCTCAAAGAAGTGAGCATCATAATTGTAGTACAGAAGCATATCTTAAAATCTATACGCATCTGATTAGAGTTCTTAGGGAAGGAAATATGATATGAAAGTTTGTACTTTCTCTGGAGGCTTTGGAATAGTAGTTACCTATAGTTCTTTGAAAGTGTAGTTTCTGTGCATGATTTTTAATGTTTTATTTTCAGGTGTTCCAAGTTCTGGACACCAAAAAGCAGCTGTACGCTGTTAAATATGTGAATCTCAAGGAAGCAGACAGCCAAACCATTGAAAGTTACAAAAATGAGATTGAGCACCTTAATCACCTGCAACAATATAGTGACCAGATTATAAAGCTTTATGACTAGTAAGTGAAAAGAATGGCATGTATTGACTGTAGTTAACATTTAAAATGCTTTCATTTGTATCAGTGAAATTGCCTATTCTGTTGTAATTACTATACAATATATTTCTTCAATTGCATTTTCAGATCATTTGACAGATTTTACTTGTTTAAAACACGACACGCCTCTAGTGTAGAAAAGAATGATGACATTTATGTTCACAATTTGTTGATTTTCTTTAGGATGTGTGTGCTGTTTTTTAATTTAAAAGTAATTTTATTAACATGTTATAAAGAAATGCGGTGGATTTTAAGTTTAATATTGTATTGTAGTTTTCAAATTTAATGTAACATTGTTAAATAGCTAAAAAATCAAGACCTTTTTAATTTAAGTTTCAGGACTTAATGCTGCAAGAATTCAAAGCTAGTGATTTTTTTCTAGAAAAAAGTTATTTGATTAATCACTTTGAAACTGGACATTAGGTGTCAGAGAACTGTAGAGCTTTTTGTGTGTTTTGTGCCTTATTCATTCCTTTATCATTTCAGTGAAATCACAAACACTTATATCTACATGTTAATGGAGTGTGGGAACCTTGACCTTAATACTTGGCTGAGAAGCCGAAAATCCGTAAATCCCCTGGAGAGAAAGTTCTATTGGAGAAACATGCTGGAAGCAGTTCATACAATCCACAAACATGGTAAGAACAAGTTAGTATAATAAGCATGCTGGAGTGGAATAGATTTGTAGCAGCACATACAGTATAGTACTGTAATGTTTTTATTAGGAATCAGTAACTTCGGTAAAGATCTTCTTGAGGTCTTGCTAGTCTTGTTTGACAGGGGTTCCCACTACTGGTCCTGGAGGACCTTACAAATAACTAATATCATGTCTGAGAAATTATACTTAACATAATCAAATACATATTTAAAAATTATATTAAGATAAACTTTACAATTGTTTATGCTCAAGGGACTTCTCAGTGTCCTAGAGCTGTAACAGTATTTTTGCACCACTTGACAAAATATCTTTTTATGTTTAAAACAGGTATTATCCACAGTGACTTGAAACCTGCCAATTTTGTAATTGTGAATGCATCACTCAAACTCATTGACTTTGGCATTGCCAACCGTATCCAGCCTGATGTGACCAGCATTGTAAAGGATTCACAGGTGAGTGGATGTAAGACTGCAGTATAAGACATGTATTATCATCTCTATTGGATAGAGCCCACTCTACAAATGTGCATGTATTTTAATGCCTCCTTAAATATTGCACACAGCTACTTTCCTAATACTTTTCTGGTTTATATGCTATTTATTTCTTAGTAATCTTGTTTTATTTGGTATGTCTTGTGCTTAAATTGGTAATGCTTGCTGCTTACATTGCCCCATTGGGGAGATAGTTGGTATTGTATCTGTGCCATTTAAAAATTGCATATGCTAATGATAATGCTGCATGCTTTCATGATATAGGTTGGAACCCTCAACTACATGCCCCCTGAGGCAATCAAGGACACCACCTCTTTTGATGGAAGGTCTAAGGTAAAAGCCTCTCAGATTATTTGTGTTGTTTAATGGTTACGATCTCATTCTTAGAAATTATTCTTCCCCATTGTTTTGTGATTGGATGATATTGAGTGATGTGCTCCAGATCAGTCATCATGAGAATCAGTCCTCCAGGCACAATTTCCAATCTGTGTAAATTACACTGCACCACTTTTCTTGATCCCATTACAGATATTGGAAACTTGAGGATAAATGTGCCTCTCTCTGGCAGGATATTAGTGGGACGAAAAGCACTGGATGTCTGGTGCACAGACTTCCCTATATTGATTCTTGGTCTTGATAAATGTCTTCCTGAAAGCTTTTGTGTAAGTGGCTTAACCAGGATATAGTCACTTAAAAAGGCTCATTGAAGTGATGAAGACATCCGTATCCACCCTGCAGCCACTATATATTTTATTTACTGTTTTTCTAAAGACTGTTTACTAGAGGTCTCTGATTATAGACAGCCTCAATGGAGTGATTGTTATACTGTGGTACACCTCTTTCTGAAGATTAAATGGTTGATGAATAAAACAAGTAATGTGCTTAATTAAGGGAACTCTAGTCCTTGAGGTCTGATTCAAATGATGTCTGAATTGAAGAGCTCGTCTGAAATGGAAAAATTGTTCCAGGTATCTAGAAATGCCTGTAATATGCCATTCTTATCGCAATATGTAACATTCTCACTGCTAGGGCCAAATATCTTCCTCTTTGTATTTTGTAATAAAAAAAATCACATTTATGTGAAATTGCATAACACTTACTCCACCCTCATCCATAATCACTGCCTCAGACTGTCATGAAGAAGGTACCTTTTGATAGTTTTTCCAATGAATATCCTCATAGTGAACGTGCAGTGAACAAACAAAAAAAATAGAGTGGGATTTGGGTGTAGTGTATATTTGCAAACTAAAGGTTATCTGTCAATTTTCTATTAGATGTAACATTTGTGGATTACAATGAAGCAGTAGCTTGTTAATTAATCTATTTCTTTTTTAAAATTCCCTTTAAAAAGGAATGCTCATAATACAACTATGTTCCTTAGCTGTGTAAACCGATCTAAAGGTACAATTCCTAGCCAGGAATTTACTGACAAATCTTCAAAGGTTTGTCATATGACATTCAAATTTATATAGCTAATCTAAAGTGTTTTGATGAACTTTCAATCGCATTTACATGTAAGCAGTAACTTGTAAGGAAAATTTCATCTCGTGTGTAATATTGCTTGAAATTGCTTTGAAACTAAGGGACTAAGCACCAGTTACACTGCCATATACTAGGATTTAGATGTTTATGGTAAGGCACTTATGATATGTTTGCAGCTGCATTGCTTCAATAAAGTGAAAGTATGCGCAGCGTATTGTACTTTTGACAGTTACCAAAAACTTCGCTTTTGAAAAATGGCGGAAGAATATGAAAAAGATGCACAACATTAAGTGTAATGTCTCAAAAGCAATTCATGCTGTGCTGTCTAAATATTGTTCGTCAGCTTTAGTTCTCATTGTGAAAAAGGTGTGCAATATTAACAGAATCTGAAATTGAGAATGTCTCCAGGACCTTCTGCTGTTTGAGTATCAGTGTGGAGGAGGAAGCTACAGGAGGCAGGTTGCGATCCTGACCAAACAGATTTTGCCCTTAATTATTAAAGCGTGCTAGTCATTGAAAGCATTAGTGAGTGTAGCACATGAGGCACAGGGGTCACAGTAACGGAAACAGCAGTCGACTTCTGAGGAACACAACATGACAATGTTTCTGGACACAAGCAGTAATTCATTATGAATGTGCTATACTAATGACTGTTTTTGTTCGTTCTTAGATCAGTCCTAAAAGTGATGTTTGGTCACTTGGATGCATTTTATATTGCATGACCTATAGAAAGACTCCATTTCAACACATTACGCACCAGATTGCAAAACTGCAAGCCATAATTGACCCGTCTCATGAAATTGAGTTTCCGGAAATTTCAGAAAAGGACCTTCAGGATGTCCTCAAGGTATGCATTTTAGTTCTCGAGTTCATTTGCCTTTTCTTACCAGCTACACAACATAAATACCCAATGTGCAACAGTTCAGCCTCATTTTTTCCATCTTGTTCATGGGAGCTATAAAAATGGGGTGTCTTGTTGGTTTAAGGAGGGGGGGTAAAGTGATCACCTCTACTTATCCATATTGGAGAGAGATTTGAGATGAATAAGTATTCTGCTGCAAAGTTCATCATCTGGAAGTGGAAAATCATCTCCGCCTACTGGTGGGAAAAGAGCTGTTAAAAAGTGCTAGTGATGAAGTTTCCTGCAGTTGGTCCAGTCCTTTAGCTCCCAAATTGAATCATAGACAAAGTCATTTCATTTGTTTGAATTTGTTCAATAATGTTAAGCAGAAGTGCAGATTAGTGTTTCTGTAGTTGTAATTTTATTTTCAGATGTAGCCATCCCTTTCTGGTTATTTTTAGAGAAAATATAAACCTCTTAAATGTAGAACTCTGTTGAACTTATGAGACGGAATTATATTTTTTTTAATTGATGTCCCTATTTCAGTAACTTTTATTTAAAATGTATTGTTCCGGTGTTATTCAATACATTCTCTGTTTTCATTCTGATTTCATTTCATGTGAAATGCACTGGTAATATGAGCTGGATATCAAATAGTTAAGCAAAGGTGTGAAATGTAGTATGACATTTTTGAACAAGAAACAAGAATAAACAAACATTTCCTGTTTCATAGCGGTGCTTGGTACGCAATCCAAAAGAGAGAATCTCCATCGCAGAACTTCTTGCGCATCCATATCTCCAGCTGCAGCCACAGCCCACACCCGAACCAGGTAATACAGCTATTGAAGTTAGTCACTTTATCAGAAAGGCTGGTTTGCAGTTTTCTTGAGGGGGGGGAAGACCCATATAATATGCATGCTTAGTTTGTTGTAGTGGGAGGAGATTAATAAAATTCCTTTTGTCACCCATTTTCTGAGCCTGGTCAGCATGTTGGTTTACAAAATGGGTGAGGTTCAGAGAACTTCTTGCACATTTAAGAACTAAAATGGACAGTGGCAGGTGTTGTATAAATAGGTGAAATCATTTTGTTTATGAGTTCTTAAAAGCCATTGCTAAATGCTGTTATTACAATTTGAAACATCGTGGAATTTGTAGTTGGGGGGCTAATGGGTTTAAAACATCACATTTCATTGAGTTGTCCGTGAATATACTTAATGTTTCAAGTCACTTGCTGTTCTGTGAGTTACTTGTGGCCGTGCAGGACCAAGTAATGTTCTAGAAAGTAATACTGCAGATGTTTTGTAATGTTAATTATTAGTAATATACACAGACATCAAAAGTATTCAGCCCCTTTGGAATTTTGTGCATTGTTACAATATAGAACCATAATGTATTAAATTGGGAGTTTTTGCTATTGATTTGAAAGAAAACACTCTACAGATTATACTACAGATTCTCCTAAGTTAATTATAAAATAGAAAATGACTGAGTATTCACCCCTTTGAGACAATATTTGGTAGAGGCACGTTTTACAGAACTGACACTCATAAGTCTTTTTGAATACATTTCTACTGGCTTTTTACATTGCAGTTTTTGTCTGTTCTTGTTTGTAAAATTGCTGAAACTCTCTCAGGTTGGATGGGAACTGATGAACAGTAACTTTCAACTCCTGCCAATGACTTTTGATTGGGTTGAGGTCCAGGCTTTGGCTGTATGTTTTGGGCCGTTGTGCTTCTGGATGATGAAGCTTCTTCCCAGTTCCATGTCTGTTGCAGGCTGCAGTAGGCTTTCCTGCAGGATTTCTCTGTACTCTCCTCCTGTCTTCACAACTCTTCCAGGCCCTGATATAGCGAAGCTTCCCCATAACGTAACACTACCACCATCATGCTTCACAGTAGGGATGCTGCTATGCTTGCGCCAAACATAGTTTACCGTTGAGGTCAAGAAGATTTACTTTGGTCTTGTTAGGCCATAGAATTTTCTCAGTTTCTCCCTCATGCCTTCTGGCAAAGTAATCAAGGTTTGATGGGAGTTTTTTGTCACTTTCCCATGAAGCTGAAAGTTGTGTAGCACCCAGGCACTTGTCATATGCCCAGTTTATCCCATCTCAGCCATGAAAGACAGTAATTCCTTTAAAGTCGTCACATGGCTCTTGGTGGCCTCTCCGACTAGTGCTCTTCTCACCTGGATACTCAGTTTTTGACCCCGTATTTCAGTTTCTCAGTTGTACCCTATTTTCTGCATTTGGAATAGTGGTCTTTGCTGTGCTTTGGGGGATATGTACTGCCTTGGAAATTTTCTTGTATCCTTCCCCTGCTTGGTGCTTTTCAATAATCCTATCCCAAAACTATCCCAGTTTTTCTTTGACTGTTCCTTTGTCTTCATGATGTACAGTAGTTTTTGTTGGGAGTTGTACTAATCAACTGTGGGACCTCCCAGTGATAGGTGTATATTTACCCTGAGTTCAGGTGGGCTCTATTCAACAAATTGTGACTTCTAAAGACACTTGGCTGTACCTGAGCCTATTTAAGTGTATCATAGCAAAGGTGACAAGTATTTATGCAATAACTTATGTTCTGTTTTATATTTATAGAATATATTTCTGAAAATATAATTTTTTTCACTTTATTTTGACATTATTGTCAATTATTGTTGATCAATGGCAAATAATCCCATATAAATATATTGTGATTCCTTGTTGTAACACTGTAAGATATAACGTCCGGGGGGGGGTGAATACTTTTGATAGCCACTGTATCACTTGGTATAGGTCAC